TTGTTAGCTCACATTGGCAGTTTTGTGGTGAACAATTGATTTGTTTGTGTCGTTAAGAAAAATAGTTTGTTCTTCTAATCTTTCATTGAAATCTGAAAATGCACTTTCTTTAAATTTTCAGTTAAATGAACAGATTAAATAATTTTAAGGTAAGGGGTGTGACTAACATGCGTAACCACACCCCTCCAACTGTCAATATTGACAACAAACAGAAATGGTGAGCTGGAGGAGTCTGTTAGGTTGTAATAACTCTCTCGAAACCCAATCTTTCTGAATAAAAAGGCTACTTTACTACATCCAATCAGCTCACTGTAGAAAAAAAACCACACCACGCCCACTTTTTGCTCGGTTCATTCAATTGAATTAATCTTTATTTGTATAGCTCTTTTATAATGTAGCTTGTGTCAGATCAATCAGCGTCACATAGAAGATTAGTGAATTAAAACAGTGTAGTTCAGTTTTCAGAGTTTAAGTCCAAACACTGAAGAGTAATCCATCGATGCACAGCTCTATAAGTCCCAAACTATGCAAGCCAGTGGCAACAATGGCGAGGAAAAAAAAAACTTCAACAATAGGCGAAAGTGAAGGGAAAAAAAGTCAGTCTCAGGCTCTCTACTCCTCCATGATCAACACAGCAGCTGCTGCAGCCTGGTCAGGGAATGTGGAAACCTTGAGATCATCTCTTTACAGGTCTTGGATTACTTCAGTGGCACTGCATAATCTCTGGGGGCCTCAGGATGAGTATTCCCAGGTGGAAATAGAGAATAAAGAGAATAATTAGTATAGCTGCTGTTCATAGTGTATATAAACGAGATGCAAAAACCTGCATGGAGCACATTCATGTATAATACTGCTAAGTAATGCACTGAGTGTATGCTTTACTAAAAGGATAGGTTTTTAATCTAGTTAATCTAATCACTGCGATAGTGTGTCTGAGCCTCGGACAATATCAGGAAGGCTATTCCAGAGTTTAGGAGCCATAAATGAAAAGGCTTAACCTCCTTCACTCGACTTTGGTATTCTAGGTACTACCAGAAGCCCTGAGTTTTAAGATCTTAAAGAGCGGGTTGAATTGTAGCTAGACAGATGGTTTGGTTAGATAAACAGGAGCTAGATAATTTAAAGCTTTATAGGTAAGAAACAATATTTTAAATTCAATACGAAACTTAACAGGCAGCCAGTGTAAGGAAGATAAAATTATAGTGATATGATCATATTTTTCTAGACCTGGTAAGAACTCTGGCTGCTGCATTTTGTACTAGCTGAAGTGTGTTAATAGAGGATGCTGGGCAGCCAGCAAATAGAGCATTACAGTAATCCGGCCTAGAAGTCATAAAAGCATAGATTAGCTTTTCTGCATCAGAGATGGGCAGCATACTTCGTAACTTAGCGATGTTTCGTAACTTAGCGATAGTTAATGAATAGTTCATGGGGACTTTAAACTCATAAAACTCATTCTTTTGGTGCAGTTGATCACACAGAGTTTAAAAAGATCATTTAAACCCAGTTGTTTTTTTGCAAGTCCTCTCTTGTGGATATGATTATATCCGTTACTCAGGGGCGCCCCCAAGGGTGGCATATGATTTTGCTGTTGCCATTATTAATTTAAATGTACTTACGTAAATTATTTACACCCCAATATTTCCATAAATAAATAAAATGCAGCCACTAAATTATTGTTGGTGTCACTGACGTAGTTGATTCACTGTCTCTCCCCCTCAGCGCTGGTGAAAGCAAACTGATGCATGCATGCAGAAGACCATTCCTGAGCCCCTCACGCACTCTGGTGTGAATCCCGGTTGTTTGCATGCACGCCGATAAAATACGCGTCGCTCATGCGCTGTAAACCCGAAGTACCAGACGTTTGTGACTTCATAACATTAATTGTTGGCCATGAGTCGGGTCTAAGACAACAGATAATTTTATAAAATATTTTTTGTTTTCTCTAGAATTGTCATATTAAATATTCTTGCAAAAGGTTACTTAAGTGATCTTAGCATATCACTCCAGTTGTTACATAGTTTTCAAGTAAAATTTAGGATTGCTATCTGTTATTTATTTATAATAGTAGCCTAATTATATGATTAATAATAATTGTATTTATTTAGAATAAATATAAATAAGTTATTATATTTATTGAATAACAAATCTAAGAATTTAAGGAGGGTGGAGGGGTGTATGTAGTTTTATAGTGGTTCCAAACAAACTAAATATGTCAAACATTCTGGAGGAAATAAACTTGTCATGGGCTTCACAGCGGGCTTCAGACACCTCATCTTAAATGGAATTTCTCAACTAAATTAAGTTTGCGTTGCTCATTTAAAATTAGCATATGTGTCAGCACAAAGACATTTTCTGACAAAATGTATCCAGTTAAATATTTGGATGAAAAAATTATATTACATTTGCTAAAATAGTCACTTGTAAAATTGGGACTAAAGCATTTATTAATGATTTTATGATTTATTTATTTATTTTTGTCATAAAAGCTGTAATTTTTTAGCTTGAGACAGTTTGGTAAAATATAAAAGCAGTGTTTATAACAAGAGGTCTGTGGAATACAAAGAATTAGATATTAAATAGATATTAAATAATGACAATAAGTTGAATGTGAGTGTAATGCATAAATGACATGCACGTGTTTTAACGTTTATATGAACCAACTGTGTCTTCTAACTGGCCTGATTTGTTGTTGTTCTCTCCAGCTTTAATCGTGGTTTTGATATTCAGTCCATGGTGTGAGTCTCAAAGAGCGTGTGACGCGAACAATATTGATGACTCACGCTTCGCCCTCAGCGGTGCTGCTGTGTTGCTGTAGTGACGGATCTTCATCCGCTTATTGACTTCGGCTATGTGTGTGTGCGTGTCCCACGAATCATCACAGCCGACCTGCGAGCTCCACATCAACTCATACTGTGCTTTGTTAGCTCATTTTCATTCTTGTGAAGGGAAAAATGCCTGTCGTCCAGTTGATATTTCCCCCCGCAGGGACGCGGAGGATTGAAAAAAAAATCTTCCAGACTCGGATGTTTGAAGTGACTGATATCATTCTTATTCGCTTAGCCTCGTTTAAATTGCAAAGTAATTTACTTCACAATTTATGTGCGATATAGATCCAAACAGGTTACCAAGGCCATTAATCAAATTGGATAGACAATCTCATAAATTGCGCCTGGTGATGGTAATATAAAAGATATCGTCATGGCAACAGCTCGGCTTATGGCAAGCCGATTTAACATTTATTGCATAAATTAAAAGTTCACCCAAAATTGTCTTTACTCGCCCTTGTTTCAAACCTTCATGAGTTTTTGTTTTTCATCTCATAAGACGATAAGACGATGACTTTCATAGTAGGCTATTTGATTATCATACGGGTTTTTAGTTATCTTTAAAGCCCATATCGTCTTTGGGTTCAGCAGAAAAAAGGGTCTTATAAAGTTTTGGAACCACTTGAGAGAAAGTTATTAACGAGTAAGTTTTCATTTTTGGGTGAACATCCTGAAATCTCTTTTTTTTCAATCGAGAATAGGAATATAATGCAAAGCAGTCACTGGAACCTGCATCCCACGTAGGAGACGACTATAAACAGTACTCTCACAACAAATAAAAATGAAAATCATATTTGGAATGGAATTGTTTTCTTATTTATGGGCATATAAAGATCAAGCACTGTTTAAAGAACATGTACTAGCATTGAGAACATTGGTTCTGCTAGCATTAGGCTTGCAGTTGTGGGTTATTGATTGAAATGGCTTGCCATAGTCTTTGAGAATTAAAAATGGCATCATTGTAAACCAACGTCCGAAGATTAAGAGGCTAACAACTACTTCAGGCCTCGCCAAAAAACGGTTGGAAGTGTTGTGAATTGCTTTGGGTGCTCAAGCATGAGGGTAAGTGTTAGCAATTACAGTAGCAAACTTTGTAAAAAAGAGCTTCAGTAGAGTGCTGAAATGACGGGCTCACCTATCCAGAAATCAACAAAAATCAGATTTACTTAGAAAACATGTACAATTTGGTCCACAGGGTTTAAGAAAGAACATAGTGTACATGGAAAGGCAAAAAAATTAAAGTGATAAACTTTTAAAATGTTGAAAGTTTAAGTAATTTAGTCATTTATTGCTATTTTGTTGCTAATGATGTCTGCTGCTCTGAGACACAACTTATCCAGTCTATGGAGAAAAATAATTAAGCACTGAGCTTTTATGAGCAATAATGTTTTTTTTATTATAATATGTTGTGCAATTTTTTAGAAAGTGACAATTTTATTCTCCAATACATCAATGGAAACAATCAATGTTTTATCTGCTATGTTTATGTTATAGCAAATGTTTCGCATTTAGTAAATTTGCTACTTTGGATGAAAACAGCTACAAATATCATTTGTAGTACATTCAACTATACTGGGAAGTCTGTATTGAGTGTTGCTATTGAATGTTCCTATCTTCAGTGGATAAAATATACATTTTGCTGAAAACCAAAGTACTCTCGCCTCACAGCAACAAGGTCGCTGGGTTTAGCCTCGACTGGGTCAGTTGGGATTTCTGTGTGGAGTTTGCAGGTTCTCCCCACGTTTGATTGGGTTTCCTCTGGGTGCTCCACTTCAGTTTCCCCCACAAGTCCAAGAACATGTGCTATAGGTGAATTGGGTAAAATAAATTTTCCATAGTGTGTGTGAATGTATGGGTGTTTCCCAGTGATAAGTTGCAGCTGTAAGGGCACCCGCTACATATACTGGATAAGTTGGTGGTTCATTCCACTGTGGTGACCCCAGCTTTTAAAGGGACTAAGCCGAAAAAAGAAAATAAATAAATGAAAACCAGTCTTTCAGAATTCTCTTTTTAATCAAGATAGTTTATTTATATTATAAGTTTTACCAGCCATGTAACTGTGATATAGTATATTTTTATTTGTTTTGGTAGACAGTATGACATATGTCAATAACAATTTAAGAACAATCTACAAAAACATCAAATAAAGCAATGAAAAGAAGCACACTGAAAGACTTTTCCAAATTTTGATGTTTTATTGATGATCACCAGGATGGTTCCCTTTTACAGTAAATCAGCAGAAATCTACTTTTGCATTGAGCTTTTAAAGACAGAATGTTGAATATTGCACTAAAGAAGAAGAGAACTAAGATTCATACAGCGCCAAAAAACAAGGAAATATCACAGCATCTTCTCGACAACATCTTAGGGCAAACAGAAGCCAAGCCCAATAATATATGCATATTTCAGTACCATAAAGACAGTTAGCTTCAAAGATATCTTCTTAAAATAGCATTATTATTATTTTTTGTCTGTTTTAATTCTGATTATTAAACGATTACATTCAGGAGTATAACTAATAAGGTCACATGCAAATATGGATGAGTATGCATGACGAATGGCCAAATGAATCCATCACATGATGATTAAGATGATGATGTAATCTGAACTAATAGAGGTTCATAGAGGTACTTTGCAGTCTTTTTTACCTTTAAGAAATTAGAATAACAATGTCCATAGAGCTCCTTTAAAAGAAAGCGTTTCACAGAAATGACCACGTCAGCTATTTCGATTTATATGTACAGGTTACGCCATTTGTTTCGATCCATTTTGGCATTTCAAGTCATTGTATAGAAGGAAAGTCTGTAGTATATTGAGTTTTCAGTGTGGTAGTTGTGAAACAGCCCTCTGCAAGCCAACATGTTATTTTCTTATGACAGTTATGTGTACTAAAATCAGCAATATTTCGTCATGAGTCACTCACGGTTCTAGACACTGCTCTCTCTGTGACCCATTGTCTGAGGTTCACTGTTCCATGTGCATATTTTGCTAGTTCTTTGTTTTGTTCAAGCAGCATCCAGCAAAGCAACTTTTACATTCAAAAGTATTATTTAAAGTTAGTGCATTCATCTTTAACACAAACCTCGTTTTGTGTAAAGAAATCACAGCTAATTAACAAGACCATATAGTACTTGTTACTAAGGCCAGGTATTTGAAATTAAATGTTTTCAAATATGAAAATATATCCAGACCATATAACATACAGTACATATTCAGCCCATTGAACATAATCCTTCAACCGAAAAAAAAAAAAAAAAAGGTCTCAGTGTGGGTTTTATTTTCAATATTTGTATATATAATTAACCAATAAATAGTTAAATTGTCAAGGCTACTGCCTTTTTGAGGCCCTACAAGTCATTTCTTTGACGTTGGTAACCTGTGCTTTTTAGTAAACAGACACAAAGACCCTGTCACTTTGAGAGAACTTAAAAGCTATTTTCAAATAACACAAAAGGAAGTATTCTGCAAGAATAATACTGACAATTACAATAAAACACGTCACGACTAGATTTAAGGATGGAGTGTTTCAAGACTCATTTTGGAATAGGACAGATGTTAACGCTGTTGTCTTGAAAGCAAGTTGTGCATTCACCAACGAGGTCTATTGAAGATTCTGCTTATAGTGTACTAAAAGATCTCAAATTGAGTCTACTCCAGTTCTAAATGCAGGGCCCTATGAAACCCTTTCCCCCCATTTTTAGCCAATGAATAAAGGTAAGGCCTAGATGGTCTAACCCCAGAGTTGTATTTGGTTGTATGGGACTTGTTAGGACTAATTTCCTTAAATTTTGCAATAGATACAGACTGTTTTCACAGAGAACAGAATACTGCCCTTATCTCTCTGATTTTGAAAAAAGGGATAGGACCCCCTCAGTTGCTCTAGTTACAGACCGATTTCAATAATCTGTACAGACACTAGGCTTTGTGCTAAAGTTCTAGCCTGCCGTTTTGGTCATATTGCAGATTCTATGACCAGACAAGGGTCTTATTCATTAAATTATTTTATATTTCCATATAAATTTCCAGCTTTCTTGTCTTACTGTTTGAATACTGTCCTATTTCAGTAAAGCAAAAAAAAAAATCTTAAGAAAAAAGATTACATTCAGAAGTAAATTCTACTGTACAACAGTCATAGATTTCTTTTTATTTTCTTTTGATGGGTGGTCATGAAGAACCATGAGTTTCTGTCTACATAATTTTCAGTAGTTTTTCACACCAGAACATGCTGAACGTTACTACTACTACTATACTAACCAACTTTGTGTTTTGATTAGGTGGACAGGACTAGTTTTGATGAATTCTAATTGCGTTTTTATGTCTGCTTTCTATGATTTTGACCATGCTTTCCACATTGAGGAACTCATAGGACCCTGCAAATGCATATTTCATATCTTTGCCAATGGCAAACTGCCATTATCGTTCTTGCATCCAATGCAAACAAAAACACTAACTGTTAGCTTTTAGTGTAGGGTATAACTTCAGATTTTTAATATATTAGTATTTTTTAAATATATATCTTTAAAAACATAAAAATGCCAATTAGTGAACTGATATTAGCAACCGAATTTAAAATCTATTTAAAAATGTTCATTTTGTAATACTTTAAGAGTATTTCTTCGCAATAACTGACCTCCACAAACATTAACGTACATAGCTAACTAAAGTACTTGAAAGTTGTTGTTAGACCAAAATACAAGTGCATCTGACAGTCACTTACATTTTTATATTTGCTTTGTCATATAAATTAAAATGTTACGTAATTATTTACATGATACATCTACCAAGCCGACGTTTTAGAAAAGTGCAATCATAATCATGCAACATAATGTTACAAACACCTGCTGTTTTTATAATACTCAAACTTGTCAGTTGGTTACAACTGTGTTAGCGTAAACCTAAGGAAGTAAGGCTATAAAGAATTTCCAAGTCCAGATAACTCAAAATGACTACATGTTAATAGATGTATTGTTGTATATTTGTATATAACACAATACATCTATGTAGTGACTCAGCATTTTCTTTGTCAAACAACAAGCAAAAGGCACATGAGGGTAACCCTCACTGTCGCTCTCACAACAACCATGAAGCCTGTTCATTTCTTTTGATTTTGTCTCTCTAGAACAAATCTGTCGACTGCTACATTTTAATATATAGTGTAGATCCACCACCAGTTTTCTTTCAAACAAGATAAACCTAAAGTGCTTGTGGGTCAGGAAATCTCAAATCGGGAAGAAAAATATCAAGTATATCAGCAAAACGCAAACAAAACATTCAGGACATTGCCAGTCTGAATCCTCCGCATTAACATAGAAAACTTTTAAAGTGAATAAAGTTGCCACATTTAAAGTCAGTCACACTTTAATGACATTATGGAAAACTGAAAACAACATTACCCGAGTAACATAATGTAAAGTTAATATAATAAATAATATTATAATAATAATAAAGTACAATACGAATAGTGGTACAACTTTTGGGGTAGCCCAAAAAAAGTCTGCTTTTGAAAAAAAGTTGATCCTCACCGCAGATCAATGCATTAAAGTACCAATAAAAATTCAAATATCAAATTCACAACCATAATCTTTCTAAAAACCTTTCGCCTTTATCATAGTCAACCAAGACTGGTCATTTCTGTAAGCTAGTAGTTTGTAATTAACGCCATCTACTTTGCCTTACTCTTAAAAGCATGTGTAGGCATGTACTGTCTCTGCTACTATAACATTATTAAACTACTACTGGATTGCATGTTTGAGAATGATCCATCTCCTGCCACCTAAAGGACACAAATCTTGGATTGTGGTTCGTTTTGTAAATCACCGTTTGACAGAATTGAGATTTGGCACAAATCCTCTTTGGATTAGCTATTTCTTTCTTCACTCTTTCTGCTGGTATGTGATCTCATGAGGAGACTGTCTAGCCTTACTGTAATAGTAGCTCACAAGACAGTGAACTTTCTGTTTTCAGAAAAGTTATTTGCTTCAAGGCCTTGCAACCTTACGTTTAGAGTATGTTTTCTCAGGCAACTGTGTTTATATGTGGTATGATTAATGATAAAGGACGCGGAACGTAAATCAGATGATGTTCGAACCAATTTACAAAGGCTATTATTTGTGCTTCCAATTCGAATTACAGGCAGGATAAAGCCTTGGTCTCTTTAAGTTAGGATAAGGAATACGGGTAAACTCGGTTTGCACTGCAACTTCAGCCTACGTTGAACATTATGTCATTGTTCATAGAAGCTAGCTAGTGAACATTCATTTGTATGCCAAAGCCTTGCAGATGCAATCAGAAATGTAATACAGATTCAGGACCGAAGCTTATAATAATGTCCCTTGACAGCACTAGGATTTTGTTGCATTTCTGAGGATTAGAATTTAGAATACAAACTATAAATGGCAGCGCGTGGAAGGCTGTGGGTGGAGGAACTCATCTAAACCTAAAAGATTAGAAATGAATGAGGAATGAATGGCAAGCTCTAAATAGAAAACCAATTCAAAATTCTATTTTGCAGGCTGGGAAAGATTCATCTTGCATGACCACTGTGCTGCTGCTGGCCAAGACCATTATATTCAGGTCCTGCTGCTTCTCGTGGGTTTGCTGATACCAGTCCCGAGTTACCTCAGTGTCGTGTGTAGGGATTAAAGTGACCTAAATGAGAAGAAGATTGGCAGATTAACTATAAAATAGGGTGCTCTTCTGCATGCAAAACCTTTTAGATGGGTTTTCAAACAATTGGATTTCAATGACCCTCAAATATGAGACAAATGAACTATTCAAAAGTAAATGCACCATGTATTTTAATTAATTAATGCAAAAAAATAAAACTATAGTAGGTACATCCCAAACTGCATACTTATGCATTATTTGACCACATTTTGTAGAAGAGTGTAAAAAAGTGAATTAACACCAAAAATGTTCAAAGGAATGTGCGCTTTAAATACCTGGATGATGTAATTATACAACCGATGCACTTCCTGCACTTAGTTATCAAACACTAAAGGCTCTATTTTAACGATCTAGGCGCAAAGTGTAAAGAGCATGTCGCAAAAGAATTAAGGGCGTGTCCGAATCTATATTTGCTATTTTAAGAATAAAAAAATATGCTTTTTGCCCTGATGCATGGTCTGTTTTGCTTATTCTCTTAATGAGTTATGGGTGTGTTTTGAGCATAACATGCATTAAAGCAATCAGAGTCTCATCTCACATTCCCTTTAAGAATCAGTTGCTCCACACCATGGCGCATTTGCTATATACATGGAGGACTTTGTAAGTGGAAAAACTGAATGGAAAAACAAAATGCTTCACTGGTGAGAAAACAGTAAACAGACCATCTGCGCGAGGATGAAGAACAAACCTCCACGATTTGGCCTCTTTACTTTCTCTTTACTTTTACTCTACTTTCGTTGATGACGAAATGGTGTTGTATGGACTCTGCTGAAGACATCCTTCAGCGTACATATTTAATTGTGTTTGTTAAGTGAAAATATTTGTTTTAAAACTATTTATAAATTCAGTTCTAAATTCCAGCAAACAAATAAATGAACAATAATAACAAAGTGTGGTAAAAACTGAGTTATATCCAAACACGCAGCCTATTCTAATGCCATATATGGTGACGCATATGTCTATTAAACCCAACAGATGGACAAATCTAAACTTGTTTTTAATAAAACAAATATAAATATGCATATAATAAATACTACTACTACTAATAATAACATACAAAAGCAAACTGTCATGAATAAACTTAAAAAGTTTATTATCCTTTTATTATTTATTATTAAAAACAGCAACGCGTCAACGATGCACATTAACACACCGTTATTTTAGACCAGCATGCCCATGAGTCCACAAAGTGGCACAAATGGATTTGCTATTAAAACATTGTGGTGCAAAACGTGAAAATTAGGGTTGCGTTGGGCTGAAAATAGCAACACATCACGGAAAACACATCCTGCGCCTTATTGCGCCAGATTTATGATAGGGTCCTAAGATTTCATTGCATTTATTTGCAAGAAAAATTCTCCAACACAAGTGATTATGTCATCCCCCAATGGTGAATGCGGTAGCCCTTACTTTGTGTTAATTTCACTAATCTGGCAACCATAAAATGTCAATTTCCAACATGTTTGAATTTCTAGTTAGAAAAAATGTATATATGTTCAATTTTTATATTAATTTCTGTAGTATTATTGCCTAATATGCAAATGTTTATGTGATTTATTTACAATACAGTTTGTAAAGTATTATTTTCTGTCTTTTAGAAGATCTATTATTATTTGAGACACTTGCTTGTTTTATGTGTAGCTGCACTGTAAACCTTAAGTAAAAGAATAAAAGTTATTGTTTTTCTATTTTATGTATTAAGTTTTTAGTTATTATACTCCCAATATCATTCTACATAAATCTGAATATATTTTACAGGATTCTATGCAGAAATACCAAAAAAAATGTAAGTAGTTTTGATCTGGTCCTACAGTAGTAATTAATATAGTTTATAGTGTGTCATTTGGGATGTAAGTTTTGTCTTTTTTTTATTTTTTATTTATTATTATTATTATTATTTTTTTTTTTTTTTGCATTTTACCTTGCATTATATTTTGTTCCCAAACCCAATTGCTTTATGGGATTACTCCCAATTGACATGGCGTGTGTCTCAATCAGCTGATCAGGGCCATTTTTAAGGGGTGTCTTAATTCTTAATAGCAAAATTCTTCCAGTGCACAGAAATGTTTGCTGCCTAAAAAGTCTGTGAATGTCAGTGAGCATTTATGCTTGATATGTTTCCTTAACCGATATTCCCGATAAATACTACTGACAGTACAGTACTACTGACTGTACAGTAATAACATTCTCATGTCACCATAAGTTTCCCAAAGTGTACTGAGTCAGGGTGCTTTTTTTACTGCTCTGACCAGTGCCCAAACTCACATACTGACAAACTTGGGAGTTAGCTTGCTGATTGAGACACACTCATGAACTCTCTTCCATGATATTCTGTTTTAATATAAAGTAAAGTGGTACCTGGAGATTAGTGCCCCATTGTGCTTTCCCTTCTAGGAGTGCATCTAGAACTGCACGGCTGGGTTCACCACTCCCTGGATCATTTCCACTGACAACGTAGTATGCTGCTCGCACTCGCTTGAAGAACTCTTGATCTACATTTTTAGCACTGCAGTGGTTGGGAATGTAAGCTAGGTCGACATAGATGGGTGGTCCTGGTGGAGTCCCAGCATTGGATTTCAGGTTGGAAGCTAAAATAATAACATTGGTTAAATAACATTGATTAATATCAACAGTATGCAATACCATTGCTGTGCAGTCAAGATATTATTTGTTTGTTATTGTTATTCACTGTTAAATGGATCAAATTGCAGTAGTAAATGAATAAATTAAAAACTAAAATCAGTGCTACAAGTGAACTTAGGAATTATAACTTAATGTACGGCATGAATTCAAATTAAAAGGTTTACTTGTCAGCAAAGACAAGGCTCTATCATCTCTATAAAATCTGATAACTTAATTTGTACCTGCATTACTCTTAACGCCATTGACCAGCCCTCTTCCTGAGTCTCCCCTGGATCCCTCTGTCTCAGACATTTTTGTCAAACGAAATGTCTTTTCTGAATCTTTTCTTTTGAGAGTATGAGGTGAGGAGTCTTTGGATGTCTGTTTCACTGGGGTAGTAGATCTTCTGGTTTTTGCATCTCCCTTACGTGCTGGCGAAGCAGATTTTCCTAGTGTCTTCCTCAAACCTCTATTTGTTTTATGGTCTTTCTTGACTGGTCTTTCTGTTTGGATCTGACCATTAAGAAGTGCTTCTGGGTCAATCATGCACACATCAGGGTGTGGTGGATGTGGAAGTGGGTCTTTCATTGGAATGGGAGGGGGATCGTGGCTCCTCGGGGAGGAGGAATGATGGCTTCCTCCACTGCCGCCAGCTGCAGACATTTTGTCCACTGGAAGATGTTCTGCATCTTCATCAGAGTCAAGGTTTCCTTCTGCTGTAATTGATGGACATTCCTCAGTCTCAGGAGGAACATCTGAATCGGATTGAGATGGGAGCGACTCGCTCAATGATGTAGGAGGAGTTTCCTCTCCTGCTAGCATAATGCCGTGACCAGTTGATGTACCACCCATTATGCTGTGTGATCCCTCTTTGCCTTCCTCCTGACGACTTTGCTGATGATGATGTTGTTGCTTGTGGGATCTCCTTTTGACAGAGTGCTGCTCACGCTCATCACCATCATCATCTCTTGAATGATCACTTCTGGCATCATCGTCTCCCTCCTCACTTGACAGATCATGTGGGCTTGGATTAATAAAGGATGGGGAAATATCCCCTTTACGATGTTTAAAAAGTGAAGGTGAATGAGAGGACGTGGCCTCCATACTGAGGTCAGAAGGTCGAGTGAATCCCTCATCTGCTTTCTTGGAGACTTCAGCGTAACAAGCCTGCGCTCCTGATGGTGGACTTGATGGACGTTCTTTAGAATCATACTTCACTTCCCTCTCTTCATCCGATTCTTCCCTGTCTATATCTTCATAAACATCTTCCCCATAGCCAGGGGGAGCCTTTAGACATACAATATCTTCATGTTCCATTGTGGAAGAAATGGCAGTATGCTGGCTAGACTCGGGTACGTTTTTGCTATATTTTTCCATAATAATTTCTTCAGTTTGTTTTTTACTCTCTTTGTCTTTTTCTTTGCTTTCCTTTTCTACTACGATTTCAGCTTGTTTTACCTCTTCTTTTTCTTCTGACTCTTTGGGTTTTCCTTCACTTTCACTCTTATTCTCTGATTTCTTGCCATCTAGGATCTCTCCCATCTTTTCTGACCTCACATCACACTTCTTTTCAGGATGTATCTGTTCATCCTCTATTTCTTTATGCTTTACTATCACTTCTTCACATTTTGCCTGGCTCAACGTTTCTTCTTTCATGTCAAATCTCTCTTCTACTTTCTCAGGCAAGTCTTTAATTTTTTCAGACATCTCTTCCCATTCTTGCTTCACGATTTGTTCACTTAGTGTGCTTGTACTCAGAGTCCCACATGCCATGACTGGCACGTTTTGAGAACTTGCCATTTCTGTTGGTTCAGAGCTGCATTTCAGCTCAAATGAATGCAATGTTTTGGTTGAGAGTACATTTGCATCAGTGTGTTGCTCAGATGAAGATGATTTGTCACACTCAATTCTGCAAGGCAGTGTTCCTTCCTCAAAATCGCTTTTATTATTCTCAGGCTCATCATCAGAGGACTTTTCTTCTGAGTGTTTTTCCTTGGAGTCAGCTTTCTCCAAAGGCGCTATCTCAAACTTGAGAGATGTTGTAGATGCCACCTCAGTTGTTTGAGCTGCATGCTTAGAAGTTTCCGATTCTGGCATTTTTGAGAAAGGTGGTTCTACATGCTTAGGATCAGAGACATGATCTTTGTCAGATTTAATGCTTGACATATCTTCCTCTGATTTTTCCTCTGCCGAAGATATTTGATCTTGAAGAAATGATTTGGATTCCTCCAGGGGACTGAGAGGAGAAAACCTAGCAAGACTAGATATTGATTCAGCTGTTGTCGTAGCATGTGTCATTCGATCCGAGACTTCCATGTATTCGTCCTTTTTTAAACATGGTAAATCCATAGTGGGTGACTCTTCCTCTTTTAGGGAAGAGTATTCATATGATACAGTGTCCCCATCTGACCTTAGTTGAAAACTAGGAACATTAATATGTGTATCTAGCCCATCTCCTATATGTTGGCCAGTAGAATATGATGCAGATGTTGAAGAAGAGTAACTAATAGATGAAGATGATGAGTAAGTTCCATCAGACATGGGCGCTTGAGTGGCAGTTAGGGATTCAGACACTTCAGGCTTTTTATCAGTTCTCTGTGGTTCATGTTTGTCATCGCTGGGTTTGGATGTCTCAGATTGGACTGAACTAGTATCTTCTTTCTTGGACTTTTCGAACTGCTTGTCAATAACTTCATATTGCTCTCCTTGTACTGATGACAGTTTTGTTGAGAGGGACTCCGTTTTGTCTGTGGATGAGTCAACAATCTTCCCTGTCTGTGGAACCTCTGCTGTTCCTCCATAGACTAATGAACTAACAGAGTCTTTTTCTTTTCCTTCAGGTGATTTTGATGCACTTGTGGTATCAAATACTGCTTTAGACTCTTTCTCTGACAACTCTCTAGCACCCTTTTCAATATCCAAGTCACTTGCATCTTCCTCTTCTTCATCCTCAAAATCATCCTCTTCTTCTGCAAATATTTTTTGACTTCTGACCATGCATTCCTCCTCCTCTGTGCTCACAACCAAAGGCTTGCTGGAAACTAAATCTGTCTTGGCGGTACATTCAAATGCAAGAACATTGTCATCAACATTTACAGATTGCCCTGAAGAACCTGGAGTGGCTGTGCAGGGATCTTCAGGTAATACCCTGGCAGGAAGCAAGTCCTTTTCAGGTGGTGAGTACCGACCAGAAGAAAATGGGTCATCTTTGCTATCATCAGAACCCAGTTTGTTTTTATCTTTACCTTCACCTGAGATTGTACTACCTGTTTTGTTTTCATCATAGGCAGATGCTGATGAAGTTGTTAGACCTTGAACACTTTGATCTTGGGATGATGTGAGAAGCCCTTGGGGAGTGAAATCTTGTGTCAAGGGCGGTTTGGTTTTGTCTAAGTCTTCTAAATGAGGTGTTGCCATTGTTTCTTCAACTTGATCCCTTCTATGATCCCTGTCTTGCACATCAGGTTTTGAAAAGCTGGAAGCAGATGTACATGGTTCTATATCTGACAGTTGAACATGACTTCCATCAAGTTTTGATAGAAGTGAAGAATGTGTGTCCTCTTTCTCCTTTTCTTTCTCTTCTCTTTCCAATTTCTCTGATTTGTCTTGCGTATCACTAGAGGCACAAAAGCTTGAACCTGCTGCTAAAGTATCTTTGCTTTCATATGTAGAACTGCTGTCAACAGAAGTATCTAGTCTCTCTTCTCTAACCAACTCTTCCTCTTGGTATAGGTCTTTGTTGTCTTGTTCTGAGTAGGCACTTTGGCTGCTGTAAATACTTGGTGAAGTCTGGTAATCAACCTTGCTAAAAGACACCGGCTCATCGTCACTGTGTTCCTCTACTGAACAAGTAGCTCCAAGCTCCATTGCCTGACTTGTTTTTCGAATGTAATCTAAATCTCTATCCATACCTGGGTACTGGTCTTCTTCCTCTCTTTCTTTGTCACTGTCTTTTGAAATGGGTTTTTCATAAGGCTCATATTTAGAAGCCTCATAGCTTTCTTTTTCCACTTCATAAGTAACCTTGTCATTAGATTTCATTCTCTCACTATCAGCCTTCTCTGAACATTTCTCATCAGCACCGTCAGACTTTTGAAAATCAGAATGTGACTCTAACACTGGAGAGGCAACCTCTCTTTCTCCTTCCCATTCCCTCTCAGCCTCCTTCTCAGGTTTTGCAGCCCCTTTTGAAAATAATGTTTCATGTTGGCCATCCACACCACTTGTCTGACTGTCAGAGCAGAGCAGTGTAATACTTGTTGGTTTAGTCTCAGTTAGAATCTCTGAGACAGCTTTACTACTTGTATTTGCAGAAGAAAGTACAATTGATGTGGCATCAACCTTACACTCCTCTGGTTCAGTTGATTTTTCACTGCAACCTTTAGTCAATTCTTCTGAATGGACAATAATTTCTTCCTTTTGTATACTTGGTTCTGATGGTTGTGCAGAAATGTTTTCCTTTAGTTCTTCTGACTTCCAAGGTTCCACTGATAATGGTCTTGAACCAGCTCCTCCCATACAAACAGCATCTCCTTCATCCTCCTCAGTACTTTCATCTTCATCTGAAAATTTGGTGGGAAATGTAGTTTCAAAGGCTGACTTGCCATCTTTAGTTTTTTCTACAGTTGAGGGGGTTTCTTCAATGAATTTTTCTTTATAATCTAAATTTAATTTGAATCCAATGTCTGATGATTGGAAAGTATCTGTTTCTTGTAATGATGTGTCTGTATTGATGTCTTCTTTATGTTCTTTCGTTTCTTCTTTTTCTTTACAGTCTAGATCTGAGGTCTTTCTCGTTCGTTCTAAATTTTCCACAAGAGATTTCTCTTTAGCTCCCAAGTCCATGTTGGTGTCTGGTTCATCTAACACTAGTTTTGATGCATCTTCTTTTAATATTTTTTCTTCTGTCTCTTTGCTTACTTTTGATTCAGTTGTTTTGTCTTCTACAGTGGTAATTTCACTTTTCGTCTCTGTCTCTAGAGTATCATGTTCTGCTTTTGAATCTACAGTTTTTGATTCTGATAAAATCAGTTCTGTCTTTTTGTCTTCCACAGATGTGGCCTCAAATTCTTGTTTTGTGTCAGGTGGTACATTTGTCTCTATACTTGACTGAGGTGCTTTTGTTACAGTCTCTTCAGTTTGTTTTTCTTCATACAGTTGGTCCTTCTTAGCAACTGTAATTGAACTCTCAGGAACTGATTGATCCTTAGATACCTGAAGTTGAGTTTCCTCCACAAATTTATATTTAGATTCATATGGTTTTGAGGATATTTCTTCAAACTCAACTGATTGTTCAGATTTGACGAATGTGACTTTGTTACTTTCATCTTCTTTAGTATGCAAACCTTCTTTGTCTGATGTTACTGGCTGGAATTCACTTTGTACTTCAGGTTCAAAAACAGATTTAGAAATGCTAAGCTCATCCTTCTTTTCGTAAATTTGACATTCTATAGATTCTTCATCTGGTTTGCTAGGTATTTCCACAGCCTTTTTGCATTCTTGATCTCCCTCAGCAGACAAATCTAATTTCTCAGATTCAACCAGTGAGACTTGATCTTGGCTCAAGTCTGCTTTTTTGGCTTTAGATTCTTGGTCTACTGTTGGTGGGAAGTCTAAATTTTCTAAAATGGATATTTGTGTTTTGCATTTAATGTCTTCTACACTTTTCTCTATATCTTGGCTAATTTGGTGTCCATCATCTGTGTCCTCTGAGACTGCAGAATGTGACATTTGAGGCTCTGCTTTGGATGATATGTCTGCTTTTTGTAATTGTTGTGTATTTTGGGTTTCTTCTATTAGCTTCTGCTCCAAGACCTCATCCTTTTCACTAGTCATTTTAGTCTCAGGAGAAATTTCCCCTGATATATGTTCTTCCATCTCTTGTGTTGTCTTCAATTTAAATTCTTCATCATCCTTAGAGGAGATATCTTTCTCCATAATGGACATATCTACGTGCATCTCTGTAGATTGAACATCTGTTTTTAAAGGGGAAATTTGCTCTTGTGTCGAAGATTTTACTTCCTCCACATTTTCATTCCAAGATTTATCATGTTCTTTGGCAGCTGTAGTGATATTCTCATATGTCAGGCCAGTCACACTTTTACTTTCCGCCTTTTCTTCTTTCAAGGTAACATCTGTTTTTTCACCTAGTTGTTGTGTTTTAGATTTGAGGCTATCTGTGTCTTCTGTAAACTGGGCTATACTGACAGAAGAATCAGTTTCCGTCAAAGCCACCTGTTCAGTTGTAGTATCAATTGACTCTGGTTTCTGTTGTGAAGTTTTCTCAGGTTTAGTTTTTATGTCTGTCTCTTTAGTGCCATGTGTCTCTGTATCTATTTTTGTTGATTCAGGAGATGTTGATGTTTCTGCTTTGATGTCTGGGCTTTCTAAGAACTGACAAGATGCACCAGTCACATCTTTTTCCTTGGCATCCTTGTCTAATTTAGAAGATATTTCAGGTTTCTCTGGCTGAATTTCTTCTACTTGTTTCACCTGTTTCTCTATCTCCAGTCCTTCCAATACTGCTAGATAACCTTTATCTTGAAATTCTTCATTTGCGTTTTTCTTATCAAAATCCTCTTTAGAGGGCTGTGTAGCTTTCTCCAGTTCTGATTTCCCAGCACCTTTATCTGTAACCTCTGCATATTTTAAGAACTCATCTTTATCGTTATACTTCTCTTCAGCATCACCCTCACCCTCCTTTTGTTTCTCTTGCTCTTTTTTCTCTTTCTCTGTAGACAGTTTTAAATCACAAGTTTCTTTAACGTCATGATCATCTGATAACTTGCTATCTTTATCCTCTGCTTCTTTTAAGCCCTCTTTAACTTCAACTTTCTTTTCAACACTTGGATCTGGTATTTCCTTCGTATCACTTACATCTTTTGGTGGTGGAACTGACTCACTTTCCTTTTTAGCCAAGAAGTCATCAACTAGTGGGGATGGTGCAGTGACTGCTTTCTGAATAATAATTTTTTCTTCTTTCTCTGCTTGAGGTTTTTCCTTCTCATCTAAAATGTCAGATTCTTGTTTTTCATTTTTCTTTTCAAATTTAAATTCAGTAGGGCTAATTGGCACTCCTTGTTCTTGATGAGTGTCTTTAAGGAGCACTTTATCCTTTCCTTCCACCGGTGACATTCTAAGGGGAGAGTGAGAAGCACTAGGTGGTCCAGAATGTGTAGGAGATGCCATTTTTACAGTGCTGTCATCAGGGCTAACGCACCGGTCTTCTACCTCTGGATAAACACTAGCTTCAGAAACAGGAAGCTTAGAAACACTGTGAGATGAGGAAGAGAGAATTGCTTGTTCTTTAAAAGACATATCCTCCTTAGGAGATGCTACCGATGCCTTTTCTGACTCAGGAATAGAGGATTTTGACATATCAGGAGCTAAGGGCACAGGACTTTTGGGTTTGTCCATTTCTTTGTCCTTGTGTTCAAGTTTATCTGGTGAGGCATATCCTTCTTGTAACTTTTCAAGTGAAATGTCAACATTTGGCGTTTGATCATATTCATCCTCTTCTTCATCATCGTAATGGGCAGCCATCTCAATTCCCTCAGTTTTGCCTTCTAAGGGAAGTGGAGGGGATTCATCAGAGGGAGAGGACTTGAAGCACTTGTCTTCCTCCAAGGAGGATGTTGGTGAGATGGTTCCAGCTGAATGTAAGTAGTCTTTCCCTTGGGTTGCCTCAGTCTGTGTAATTGGTTGAACAGTGTCCAAGACCAGGGAGCTTTTTCCTGTGTCTTCAGTCTGAGGTGCTGTGACTGATGCCACTGACTGATCTTCTGCAATGGAAGTGGGTAGAGAAGACAGTTTGTCATACTCTGTTATGGATGTCGCTGAAGAAACATGTTCTTCTTCAGCTAATGGAGCTGCAAGAATGCTGGTGTAGATAGAAATCGCTGGTTCCTGTGCACCCATGAATACTTTGCTGGTTCCATTGCCCATTGCAGCAGCTTGCATTTCTCTCATTCCATGCATGGCATCAAATGAGCCTGGTTGGTCTGGGACAGAGACGTCATAGCTTCCAACTTCATACTGAAGGTGTGGTATCCTGTCCTCTGCTTCTTCATGGATCTCCTCATCTGAAATTGTCTGCTCAGTCTCAGAGTAACCTGGGATGGTTTCATCCTGGATGTATGATAGGTTTTCTGCTGCAGCAGCGCCTTGCGCTGTAGAGGTAATGCCAGCTGTGACACCTCCAACATTTGACATGTATGCATCCTCTTCGTCTTTGACTTTCTCAGGAGAGAGCTCTTTAATTTCTTCATCTGCAATGGCATCTAAATCTTCAGCCTCCTCCAGCTCAGCTTTTTCAATCACGTCCTCTTCTTCAAACTGCTCGTCTTCAGCTTCAATCCTTCTTTCCTCCACTTGTTTTTGCTTCTCCATTTCCTCAACTTCATGTTTTCTGTCCACTCCCTCCAGGTCTTTAGTTTCTTTTGCTGGCCCTTCATCCTCTTCATCTCCAATTCCCATATCTTCCTCCTCCTCATCGTCAGTCTTTTTCTTAACAGGCTGTATATCAATCTCTTCCTCATCTTCATCTTCAATTGCAGCACCCTCATCCTCAAATTTCTCAATTTCTGAAGTTTGGGACTCATCTTTTTCTTTCACAGCAGCTGATGACACTTCTTTAATTCCTGCTGATGCAGATACTTCTTCCACTTTAGTTTTCTGTTCCACCATATCGGTTTCTCCAACTTTGTCCTCTGCAGACTTTGAGGGTTCAATATCTTTCTCAGCTGGTAATTCAGAGACAGTAAGGTCACTTTTGGGGGATTCTGACTGATATGTCACTTCAGTGGGTTTGATTTTATTTAAGTCTTTTGTTAAATCTTCCGGAGCAGATATATCTTCTACAGTCCCATTCTCCTGCTTCTCAGGTTCAGTCTTTTCGGCCACAGGTTCTGCTGTAATCTCTGCAATCTCTGCCTTGGCAGTTGTAGGTTTTTTCTTTATTGATTTGGGTTTCCCTTGGGTTTTGGCCTTATGGAGGGTCTTTCTGACCTCTGGTGTGAAAGGTTTCAGTTCAGGTTTAGTTATTTTCCTCAATTCAGGTTTAGAACTGTCCTTGGCTTTCATTTTTTTCTCATCTTTTTTCACTGAATCATCTTGTTTAATTACACGTTTTTCTTTCTTAATCTCCCTCTTTTCTTTGTCTTTCTTTTCATCCATTTTGGACAACCTTTCCTTCGGGTGTTTTTTTAGTGGTTTTTCCTTCAATAACTTTTTCTTTTCTGTTACTTCTGCTTTTGGTTTCAATGACTTGGTGTGTTTCTTTTCTTCTTTTTTCTCAACCTTGTTCTCTTTGACAGAGTCACTCTTTGTTTCGACTACAGATACATCCTCATGCTCGTCTGTTTCTTTCTTAGAAGGCTTGGCTGGTGTGTGAGTCTTGGGAGATGACTTTAGACTTTCTTTGCTGTCAGTCCTTTGCTTTAGTTTTGTTTGTTTTACTGCTGAAGGTGAAACACCAGAATTTATGTCTTTTTGTGTGGCTACTGGATACCGCAAGAAATCAAGGTGCTTTAACTTTTCGAGCCCTTCAAGTATTTTGTTTTGTGGTGCATTTCCAGGAAATAAAACCCTTACGATTTTCTCTGTGGGACTGGCAGGGAGCCATACAACGAGAGCAGTAATAGATGTCAAATATGGTACAGATATTTCTCCTTCTTTTCCATTGGGAAGAATTATCCCTGTCTTGGCCTTGCTGTTACCTGCCCACTTTTGCATGAGGAACTGCATTTCCTTACTGTCCTTCACAGGGTTCAAGACAAACATGTCTAACCTTCCCACACCCATCTTGTGGAAAAGAGTGATGGGCTCGATGGTATTACTAACCACTCGAAAAAGAGGCTCAGGTTTTATTCCCAACTTGTTGAGGTATTGCAAAGTCAGAGATGCTTCCTCAATGCTTCGCTTGACTTTTAAATTTGATTCTGATGTCCGAAGCTTTTCAGGTACATTGAAGAACACTACTCCAAGCTCTGGTGATATCAGGTTTTTCATCCAATCACTGTAGGTAGTTGAGCCTTGAGACTGCTCCTCCTCCTGCTCTGCAACCTTCCTTTGAAGAAGTCCATTGATCCCAGGGAGATTATCAGCACCAATATGTGTAAGAAGGACAGAATCAATACGATCTAAATGTCTGACAAGCTTCCAGAAGCATGACCTTCTGTCAGAGCCACCATCAATCAAAATGTTGAAACCATTGACAGCAAAAAGCGCCGAATCCCCACGTCCACCGGGAAAGATGTAGCAGCAAGGCTTTGAGAGCTTCAGGAATCCTCCAGAGGTTGGAGGCTCAAGAAGGTCAAATGGGGATGGTACATCCACAGTCTCAGATATGTATTCAGTAAACTCAGTGACCCCCTCCATCTTAGGGAGTATGGGTTCTGGATTTAGCGTATAATTCAGCAACTCCCTAATCCGTTGCTGTTGCCCCAGAGAGCTCCAGCCTGCGTCACTACGGCAAGACACAGTCAGTGATGCCCGCTGTCCAGAGCTGGCTTTACCCAGCAAATGGCTGACCTACATGACGAAAACAAGTCTAAAATTAGTCAATATATATTGCTTTTTTATCAGTCTGAATAGTTATATATATCCAAACTCACCCCAGGTTCTGCAAACACGCGTAAGAAGGTCTGATGACTGAACACTCCAGTTTGGAGAACCAGGTCACCTTGGTCAGAGCTCTGCCCACTCAGTACTAACAGCTTGTGCACAGCTGGGTCAGATACAAGACAATGGATCTAGGACACAATAAGAGACATAGAGGGTATTTAAAACACATTAGTCAAATAGATTCTGTCTGTTTGCTGGAAGGTTAGGCTTCAGCAAGGTTATTCAGTGTACCATTAAACCGATCCATTAATCTTTATTACAAACATATGGCACCCAAAAGAGATTTGCTTTAAATAACTTACCTCAGAGATAACAGTATCTTCGGAGGGGTTTACTAATACAACCGTCTCAAGAACATCACTTTTGTGTTGCAGAGTCCTTTGCCCTGAAAGAAACACATGTTTTTATTTTTTTTACTGATAATGAGTAACAAATATATATTTTAACAAGACCATAAAACCCTTACTTATCTAAAACACACACAACATAGACAAGTACACTAATTAAAAGTATTTCTGATGTTTAAGCATTGCAAATCTTACACATGCTACAAATCCCTTAAGATTAATGATCCTAATCCTGTTGGCTATTTGGCTTAACAAAAATTATTAATGAATTATAATACCAAATAGAGTGTAATCAGATTTAACTTTTGGACTATATATATATATATTAGAGTAAGCATTATTAGAGTAAGATTAGAATGGAAAGCATAGTAAAAAAACTAAACACAACTTTAAAGAAAAGGTCACTACTTTACATTAGTTTTTCTCCAAACTGTGAAGACAATATTCAGAAGAAGGTTACAGCTCATCTAAATTATACGGGAAATATTTTTTCATTAAAAGGGCTAAACACTAAACCTGAAATCCACCGAAATTCCCAACACAGCAGCCAGATCGTAATCCTCCAAAGCTTGCCTCTTAACAACAGCACATTGATTTTGTTCACTTGAATGTCAATAGCAGGCATATGATTGATTAATGTTAATCAAAAAGAATGTCCCTGCAGGCATAGCTATCAATCAAATCAATCTTCATTCATTTAGAAAAAGACTCCAAGATACAGTATACAGACAACCTTAGTTCAATGCATTTCAAGGGCAGTCCAGCAAGAGTCCTCTTAATGAGCCATCATGGATGTTTGGATTACAGGCAGAAGTAAGGGGTTTAGAGTTTTAAGTGTAAATTACGATAAGAGGATATCCATGTAAAGCTAATGGGAAGAAATCACATGACACAAATGCAACATAAGTCCTTACATAGTCTCAAAAGTCCAGTCCAAACACATTTATCCTGTGGTTTCAGTTGTAGAAACAGTGTTATAAGACCAGGGTGTATGGAGGAATTAGTGAGATAATCAAAGAGCTGCTGAACGCAGCACGACTGGGGTTTGGACCAAGCTGGCCTAAGCCCAGTATTGCTTCTGTGTGCCAGATGGTGTGAGATGGAAGTACAGAAGTGAAAGTACAACATATGTGAAGACTGGTGAAGCAATTTCACTAGGACACAGTGAATGCTAATAATGCAGGCTGCTACAGAATTGACAAACTCATCTCTGACACGCTGCCTTCTGCAGAGTGATACAATATAAAGAAAAAAGGGAGGTACTAAAGTCTCAGACACTGCAGTGCCTCGCCTTGGGCACAATGCCCAGAGCAACATGTGCCCTCTTTGTTGTGTGATGAAAATCTTATGAAGAGGCAAAACTAAAAAATGTAGGTAAAAATAATGCTATTGACTGTCTAGACCAGGGGCTTCCAAACTTTTCAGCGCACGACCCCCAAAATGACAATGCCAGTGACTCAAACCCCAAATTCCTTGGAGGTGGTTATAAATACACATACATTGCACACAACACCACAAGGCCTATATAAACATAAGCATATTGACAACACGAAAAACATTCTAACAACCATGTCATTTTATAGTTATTTATTAATTTTTTTAATTTAACATGAACCTCACCTAAAGAGACTGTGGTGACCACAATGTTTTCAGCACAAGTCTATTCTTGGTGTAGTTTTTGAGCCAATCAGAGGTGATTCTCAATGTTCAGTTGTGAACTTTATTTATTTGTAATGTATTTGATATAGGTGTCCATAAAGGTGTCAGCATTGGTGGAAGGAGTACTGAAAAATCATACTTAAGTAAAAGTATACTGACTACAAAATAAATACAGACATTTATTCCTCAGGTATGACAACCAAAATCCATCATCTGATGAGCGGCATAGTGATAATGTCCACACAACGTCAACCTCTAACATCATCAGACATTGATATTTATCTGATTTTTGGTTGGACATTTTTTAATCTCAATAGACTCACAGTATGTGTAAAAAGTTCTTATAAAAGTACTGCAGAGTAGTGAGTATTAAGTTGTAGAAAGCTGATGAATTTACATGTAATTTGTGGATGTGTGTTAACGTAACATTCTGTAGGCACACAGCGCCATAAGACGTTAATATTAGATTTGATTTATGCTGTGATGTCAGGTGACTAAAATTCAATGTCTAGCCAGCATCTAAGGACAGTGTTATTTTGATGTCCAATAACAACGTCAAATGATGTTGATATTTGGTTGATTTTAGGCTGTGTTAGAAAGTGACCAAAATCCAACGTCGAGCCAATAAATAAATAGGTTTTAGTTATGTCACAGCCTTGAATATTGATTTGCTGATCAGGATTGCTATGGGGAGGGACATTCTCATTCAAGTGATTGATTGGACAGCAAAAACTGCAGTGCAGCATGAGTCATCATTGTTTTTATTCCTAATTTTTTTTTTGTCCTAAAAGTAAACTTTTATAAAAAACCTTTTATAAATGCATTAACGATCTCAAATGTTCTTAAAAGCCATGAAACTCCTTTCCATTTCAAAAAACCAGATGGCTTTGCAGAGCTGTGTGTTCAGCCAGCTTCCCCTTTCCACTACTCCCTTTTGGCTTTTTTCCACAGTCACTAAAGAATGGGAAAGAATGCAGCATTGTAACAAACGTCTAAAATTCCAAGGCTAAGTTAAACTATCCAGTAAATTTGAAGAAGCATCTTCACAGCTGCTGATTCTTAATTAACGACATAAATTTGATTGCATGAACATCTTAAGTTGCTTAAGCATCTTAAAACAGTCAATCATTTTTAAGGAGGTCTCTGCAGTCCTACATCACCTGACCTCCTTGATATAAATATCTGCTCATGAACTCTAAAAATGAGAGCACTCCATTAAAATAAGCTCAAACAGTGCTGTGATAGAAGACAGACCAAGTATCCGCGCTGCTCCAGATATTTTGCTCTAGATATGATCACCCAAGAGATTGAGGCCTGTGGAAGTTTGGGAACAGAACCGCCTCATCCGAGCATCTAAAACAGTCACTCATGCCACCGTCTTGCATGCATTTGGGAGCAAACAACCTTGTGAACAGCGCATCATACTGTCGTGTACTGTATTAACAATGCTAAATCTGTTAGCCCCAATGGAACAGCCATTTAATTCCCATTTCATGCACAGATGACAGAGGTTGTGCAATCTTATGCCATTTATTTTCATTGAGAATGTGACATTAGTAAAGCACAAAGCACCACAGGTGTTTTATTTTTTATTTTTTTCATTAACCAGCTAACTAGCTTTTCAGCACAGAGAGAATTAATGTTACTGTTGAGGGGCTTATAGTAATCTCACAAATGAGTCATCAATCCAGTCTTAGTCCGCACCACTGGTTGAAAGAAGTACGATGGGGAAAAGACCAGGGGTTAGTTTATGACATATCATGTCAATATGGACTAAAATCTCTAAGGAATATTTCCTGTACCTTGTTGACTCTATGCCACATAGGATTAAGGCAACTAGTAAGGTGTACCTAATAAAGTGGCCGGTGAGTATACGTAATATTATACATTTTATTCAAATTAAACATCATCCATAATATCATGGGCAAAACCATACATATAGCGCTTCATTACCATGTTGAAATATCTATAGTTTCCATGATAATTATATAAAAAACAAGGGCTGAAAATAAATACAGTGTAAATACATACAGTTGAAGGCCAAATTGTTAGCCCTACTTTTAAATTTAAATTACTTAAAAAATATTTCCCAAGTGTTGTTTAACAGAGACGACTTTTTTCAACAGATTTTTGAACAATATATTGTGATATATATATATATATATATATATATATATATATATATATATATATATATATATATATATATATATATATATATATAATTTCTTATTTCTGCCATAATAACAGTGCATAATATTTTTCTACAAATTTTGCAAAGAAAAAGTGCAATTTAAGATTTAATATGTTGACTAGGCAAGGTTTTGGATAACAGTGGTTTGTTCTATAGCCACTAGAAAACTAAATATGTCTTGAGGGAGCTAATAAACATTAACCTTAAATTATTTTTAAAAACGTTAAAAAATTGCTTTATTTCAGCCATTCTAAAATAAATAAGACTTTTTCCCAGAAGAAAAAAATAAATAAATATATATATATATATATATATATATATATATATATATATATATATATATATATATATATAGGAAATACTGTCCTTGCTCTAATGAACATTACTTAGAATAAAAATGTCATAGGGGGCTAATAATTTTGACTTAATAAATTAATTAACACATCAATTATAAATTATTAGCTCCCACATCATGCACACATTCTATACCTTAATAACAAAGATCAAGCGATAATTCTTTTACATTACTTCTTTAAGAAAGGTACACTAATAATAAAACACAGTTTGCCACCTGTTATAAGGTGCAGTTGCTGCTACAACAGTACTACAATTTTTGAAATAGCAAGTTTTTTGTTAATTTAAGAAATGATCTTTGGGAGCTTTGCATAATAAGTGAAGGACTTATCTGCATTTAAACAAAAAATCTTAATCTTTTTTCCACTATCTTTTTCTTTAATACATTGTTATGTACTTGCATATTTTTCATATATTTTGCAATTGTGCAACATTACTAAAAACAGGTCTTTTCACACTAAGCACGATAACTATAAATATATTAACTGTATTTGTGTCCACATCAGCTAATGATAATGATCTACTTATTTTTAGATTATGCTTTAAATTTTGCATTACCCATTTGTAACCAGCAGTGTGCTACATTTTCTAGTGCACCAGTGAATCCAGCTCATGTATTCTACCTAATCAAACAGGGAATTTAGTAATCACAGTCAGTGTAGTGTAATAAAAACCACACAAATTATATTTTTCTCCATCATTCCCCAGCTTACCTGAGGTGCTTTTATAGATATACTTTAATTTGTTAGACTTGCTTCCATGTACATTTTTATCATTCCATCCTTTGTTACAACCAATTGCTTTCAAGACAGTGATTATCTTTAAATAATG